GACAAGGATTCACTCAAAGTAAGGGGTATTGTCACATATGGAAATTGCTTGCAGGGATTTGGAGTGCAAAAGGTGGGACTTATCTATTTGGAATTTTATCTTTAATGGGCCGTATTAAGAAAGATGAGTAAAATAATATTAACGGCTAGAATTAAACTCTAAATTTTAATATTTAAATTATTGGGGTTGTTAGAAGGAGGTCCCCACTCCTTCTAATATTTTATCTCCACTCCTTTTAATAGTTTGGGAGCTGGAGCGAAAGTTAAGTGCTATGGACTATAACTTAGAGCTGGGGGCAGTAGAGGTAGAGAGTTCTGGGGGAGGAACATAATTTAGTATTGCCATTGCTATTTGTGAAGTAATAAGAGGTAATTTGAGTTTGCACCCCATTTTATCGTCCAAATTGGACTTTGTACCTCTTTTTTAAAACTCTTTGTTTTTGCACCTCAACCCCATATGAAAAGACAAAAATGGCCTCGATTAGGAACATGTTGAAGGTCAACAAAATTGTTAATGGAGGCCGGGGCAATTTTGTCTTTTCATATGGGATTGGGGTACAAAAACAAAGTTTTTTAAAAACGGGGTGCAAAGTCCAATTTGTACAAAAATATGGGGTGCAAGCTCAAATTACTCCAAGTAATAATGAAATACCAAGTTTGTAGGCTCATAACACAAATGTCATCTCTTTCATCTTTATTGTTGCAAAAAACAATGAATTATGAAACTTTAGTGTCCAATATGAGATGCATATGTAATCATAGTGTCCAATTTGGTCCATTTGAAACCTTAGTGTCCAATATGAGATTATCATGTAACCATAGTGTCCAATGGACCAAATTATGGTTACATGAGAATCTCATATTGGACACTAAGGTTTCAAATGGACCAAATTGGACACTATGATTACATATGCATCTCATATTGAACACTAAAGTTTCATAATTCACTGTTTTTGGACACTCACTTATGATTCTCTTATACCATTAATAAAAATCGTAAGTCTTATTTTTCCTTTCCTTTTTGGTGAGAATAAACTAATTTAATTTATGTATATAATTTTGGAATATTGAATTTGAGGTTTTAGAGTATGTAATTTGATTTTAATTAATAATTCTTATATTTAACAATTTAAAAATATATTTAGGACCTTTCATTTGTATGATTTTTATGGAACTTTGGAAAATATAGAAGTATATGGTTGTTTTTTAAGAAATGAAATTTATAAATTGTGTGAATTTCTTCATGAAAAATTTCTCGATGGATTTTTAAATTTTAAGTAGGAAATCCAAATTTATGTGTGGCTTCATAGTTGTAAAATGTTATGGAACTTTATACACATGATATATACGAATATTGTGCATTCCATATATATGACCAAATATTATGGAATATCCTTATTTATGGCATCATTGAAATATTGTACCGTTTATATGCAAGATTGCACTTATGGACTAACAACCTAAAATTGATAGCAATACCTACGGCTAATCCTCATTCTGGAAATATATACTACCTATTGTGCACAAATTAATACTCCATAACTTCATGAAAGAATAACACTCGTGGTCATTTAAAATTTTACATAATAATTTCCCATTATGCCCTTAAATTGGGGGAGACTATTACCTCCAAAAATAGTACTCAATCCGTTTTTTTTATTAGTACTTCTTTTCTTTTTGGGACCGTTTTTTTTATTTGTCCTCTTTTCCCTTTAAGGAAAGTTTTTGAGAAAATACCCACACTTTTATTACTTTACCCCACTTACTTTTTACAAACTACTTTCTCTTTCCTACTTTACTATCACTTTACTCTTCTTAATACACTCTCTTTCCTACTTTATCATCACTTTACTCTTTTTAATATATCATTTTTCCTACTTTATCATTTACCATACACACTCTATACTTATTCTACTACTTTATTATTAAAACACGTGCCAAACCCTAAGAGGACTAATAAAAAAGAACGGAGTATCAACTATTCTACTTTTTTAGCAACTTTTCTACTTTATATTATATAAAGATATGATTTTTTTGCTATGACTTTGTTGACGGTAATAAGCATATACGATTTGTTGCGGTCACTAGTCAATGCAGAAAACATACTACATATTATTTGTGTCCACAATCGTCAACGCAAAAAATATGGACGCAAATGATAGTTTTTCTTGTAGTGAGTTGCAGTTCCAGAACTCCTATGTTCCATCTCTAGTACTCCATTCGTCCCGCTAAGATTGTTTCAGACACTATTCACTTGGTCAACACAAATCACTCTTATATTAAATTTTTATCAAATTGAATTCTGGTTTTTTGCGACTTTGTAAAGCTTTTAATGTAGTTTCTGAATATGTAATTTTTTTTTCTACAAAAAAATTGAGTGCGGACAGAGATCTGTTTGTTTTATGACTTTTGTCGTCAGTCAAGCATCGTAAACCGAATTGTCTCAAACTTAGTGGGATAGAGGTAGTATATTTTATGTGTACTTTTAGGGAGAATTTGACTTTGCACCCCATATTTTGGGGTGATATTGGATTTTGCACCTCATTTTCAAAATCTTTAATGTATGCACCTCATCAGCTCAAGAATTGTGAAGTAGTGAGGTGCAAACTCAAATGATTTTATAGTATATTGAGGTGTATGTATTAATGATTTTGAAAATATGTTGCAAAGTCAAATATCACTAAAAACATGGAGTGCAAAGTCAGATTCTCCCTACTTTTTATTAGCTATTGAGAAGCAATTTGTAATGTGCTTTATCTATTATTATAGTTTTACAACGGGTGATCCGTGATCCCGCCTTGGCCCGGTTAATCTCAAGCTTCCAAGAAGACACGTCTTGATAAAATTAGGGAAATTCTATTCACGGCCATCATTTTACTAAATACAACTAAAATTATTTTATAAATCCAAGTATACCCTTTTCTCCATTCCTCCACTTCTTTTCAAGTGCCGACTCGTCTCCAGGTAATCTAGAGGTAATCTCCCCTCTAGTAAGGGTAACTTAGACATTTTTGTAGATATATGACTGTATTTAGTAAAATAGTGATTATGAATAGTAGCCGAAAATCTCAAAAGTGGTTGTTTCGATGTCCGGCCATAAGGTTATTATTTTCTGTTTTTGTTAGTATGCCTTAGGGTTGTTTTTAGAATTCTAATATAAGCATTTCTTTCCTATAAACGCAAAAATGTCCTAACTTATGCAATTCGTGGTTGAGATGATACAGATTTGTGGTTAATAAGGTAAGTAGAATGGTGAAAATAACCACACAAGACTTGCTAGCTGTTAAAAAATGGGACATCAATAACAAGTGTTTGATGTGAGCTTATGAAGAAGAAAATGTTTTTTTAATAGGAAAAATTGATAGTAATAATCCCAACTATTGGTGGTCCGCTCATAATAATCCCAACTATTGATTAATCCGGAATAATCCCAACTTTAGGGACCTTCCGCCAATAATGGTCCATATGAATAAATTCTTGTAGTTTCTAAAGTGGATGAGATGAGATATAACAAGTAATCCCTATATATAATCTCAACTTTTAATTTTTACGCTTAATTTATATTTAAAATTCACTTTTTATAGAGGTAGTATTTGGTCATGGACCATTATTGGCGGACAGTCTATATAGTTGGGATTATACAGAAATAATCAATAGTTGAGATTATTTTCAGCGGACCGGCAATAGTTGGGATTATTATTTTCAATTTTTCCTTTTTAATATAAGAAGAAAATGATTGATATGAGCAACATCGCGCTTTAAAATAATATTGCGTACAAAATTATACACACATCATTCAGTTCTCTCTAGATTTGTGTGGTCTTTCCCTCACATAGGGTTAACTTCTCCGTCGGCCATTTTAGGTTTGTGCGGCTTAAGAATTTCAGCCTTACGCATCGCGCAAGCTTTGTTTTTGTTCGCAGGTTGATCTTAAACTGCTCAAAACTCCTACACTTTCAATTCCTCAGTAGAAGAGAATGTTATGAATAAGGAGAAAGGAGAAGAAGAAAATGCAGTATTGTCAGTCCGCCCCCCTCCCGAACCGCCGCCGTGGAGGAATCTTGTGGTTAGGGTTTGGAAAATGTTGTTTCAAGTTTGGATTTTAATTATTTCGTTCTTATTTTTATTTTTCGGATTGAACTGAATGTTGTCTAGCAGAACTCTAGAGTTTAGGTTGAGTGATGAAAGGTCTATTGCGTTCGTCATTGGCTCAACTAAGCTCATTATAGGATCAGCGAGTCATATTTGCTTTTTGGAGGTGATAAACTCTGAGTCTAGTTCGACAACAGATGGTTGAAAAGAGACTTTTTGTCTTTTTGTATCTTGCCTGAATTCTTATTGTTCAATATAAATCACTTTCTTCCAAAAAAAAAAATTAATACTAATATCCTTATCAAATATGAAATTAATTGGATATATTAATTGGGTGTGTGTGTTTACTATTAGATATATTAATTGGGTGTGTACGTTTTTTTTGGCAAATTTTTCTAACCTATTATAGTATCTGTTATGTTAATGTCAACATCCTTGAAATGAGATGAGATTCGAACCCATTTAAGTTAATGTTACATACTCCCTCCGTCCCTAATAACTTTGCCAAGTTTGACCGGCACGGGGATTAATAAAGTAAAAACTGTGTGGTTGAGGTTTGTGCAGAGGAGAGAGAATTAACTGGAACCACAAATTCTTTACTTAAATGGGAAAGTGGCAAAGTTAATGGGACATCCAAAAAAGGAAAGTTGGCAAAGTTATAAGGGACGGAGGGAGTATCTATAAAAAAAATCCATAAATTTATCAGCTATATATACTCATTAATAAAACCAAAATTTAAAAAAATGATGCTAACTCAATACATATCTATTATTGAGTATGTTTGGATCTTGTATTCAGTTTTATCACATATAATTTCATATACTTTTTTCTTTATTTTATGAATAAAATATATTTTCAATATAATCTTTCCATTATTTAGCAGATTCAAATCATCCATCAATTCAGCTAATTACATCGGATTCTTTATTGAAATCAGGGAAACAGCTGGATCTGCCTGATAGGCAATCAAATGATATTCAGTTTAAACTGCCTTTACCTTCTCTAGGAATCACATTCTAACCTGATTAAGAAGCACGGGTACAATTAAAAGTAGCTTTTCTAACCAGCCAATCAGCTGCATGATTGCCTTCTCTGTGATTGTGAATGCATTATCCCACACAAAAAAAAAAAACTCTTCTATAACCAGCACTACAGCAGGATGGTTCTTGATTCTCAAGCACATTCCATGACCTTTTTAATGGATTGTTCGGAACATTAGTGAATGTAAAAACTCGTCTAGTCGTCTGCGACGGATGGGAAACCACCACATTTGTGGAGATTTTGCTGATACATCATTGTGTATTTAATTTGTAAAAAACTAAAAACAAGGAACACAACTTTGAATTATTGAAATCTTCAGGCTGTATATAGCTATGCACCACAAAAGAGATCTTGTTTATGAATACACCATGCAGTTGTACAACCATTTTACAAAAATAATGAAACATTGAAAATTTTGAGAAGGGGGGAGTTGGCATACACAAGAGGCCTGCTTGAGCTAAAGCAGGTCAAAAAATCAAGGTTTTATTGTGTGTTCCCATTGATGTCACCAATGAACCAAAGAACTTTTTGCTCCTATCTAATTATTCAACAAATAATTTCACCCTACTTGCAGCAGTGGTACACACCTGTTCATCATACATCCTCCAGTATGCATAAAAAATGCAAAGCTAGCTCCGATGAAGGAAAGTGCTCAAATGAGGCCAGCATAAGGATTGCTGTAGGATTGAACAGGCATAGAAGCATTACTATAAGGACTAGCAGCTGTTGCACCATATGGATTGCCGAAGGGATTCATAGCCGGTTGTGTTTGCGGACCCACCATCATCTGAGGTTGCTGCTGCTGAAACATGAAAGGCGGTGGATGATTTGCCATCATCTGCACTGTTGATGTTTGTGCACCCACCACTATGTTTCTGGCGTAGAACGGGTCATGTGCTGTTTGTGCCGGCGGCGGCATCATCATGGGGGCCGCAACTGACATTGGTGAGTGTTCCCATGGATTATTGTTATTATTATAGCTTACATTGGGGTTGCTCCATCTAATTGCATCATCGTAAAGGCTGTCTAGTGTAAGCTTGTCCAGTCCTCCCGCCTTTTGTAAAAACACAAGCATCCACACAAAATACAGTTCATGTCAACTTTCATGATAAAAATGGCATTTACGTAATAGGGAATTCTAATATCCAGTACGAGTTTGTTCCACTTTTAGCCCTCTGCTATTGAAGCATCGACACTTATGTTACCTGTCTGATTTTTCTACTTTTACTCATCTAACTATTTACACTTCTAATTTTGGTACTTCCGTACTAGTCTTTGAGATTTTCCACTTCTAATCGTCTAACTATTGATAGTGACATTGTCAGTCCTCCAACTACTACGGGAAATTCAAATACGAATGCCAAATGTGTCATTGTCACAATAATCAGAAGATTAAAAGTTTATAAAAACCAAAGACAAGTACCAAAAGCGTCTCACATTAGTCGTAAAACTAAGAGTGTTGCTTGGTGTACACATTTTGTACACATATTGTGTATCCCCCTAGTTGTCTGTTTATTAGGCAGCTTCTGAACGAATTGTCTATGTAGTAACACAACGGGGGGTGCACAATATGTGTACAAAATATGTGTACCAACAGCATTTGTGTAAGACAAAAACTTGACAAATTTAAATTTTTAATGACAAATTCAAAAACGAACGCTAAAACTGTCATTGCCATAATAAGCAGAGGACTAAAAGTTGAAACAACTATTGTTATTATTAATATGAACATACATAAAGGCATATACTAATAAAGATAGGATGTAATACCAGTTTGGTAGCCGCTGTGGAAGTCTCATTGGAGGTGGGAGCTTCGACTAAAGCTAACTCCCAGCCTGTAACTCCGTTTGCCAGATTTGGACCAGTAGAAGCTGGCTGGTTCATAGAACCTACAAGAGAATCAAACTTCATAGTTCATACCAAAAATATTTATGCATAACCTCTCCTTATAGATTGGTTAGTTTTGTTTATATATATATGGTGACAAATCGTGGGGAGATTAATAATATTGTTATGTTAATGATTTCTAACTACTTGAGTTTTTTTACATCATTATCATTTTCGCAGGTGATGTTTAAAACTATGTGTCCAAATGGAACACACGAAATGCTAGGAAAAGGTAACAGGGAGGAATACAAAGGAAAAATTGGGAGAGAAAATCTTGACGAAAATAACAACATTAATTCAAACTCAACAAATTAAGGTTTAATATTTGTTTCAATTCATATTTTATTTATTTATTTTTATTATATAAATACGAGGTATTTAAGAAACCTAAACATATGTTAAAATTTTAAAAATATTAGTCTTAATTCACTTTCCTTGGCATTTTCAAACGTAGATCCAAATTCCAAATATAAGAAATTAACAATGTTTAACACTTTCTTTCCTTAGCATTCTCCGGGACGGCGAGACCCAAACATAGCCTACCACTCTGAATATACTTACTTACCAACGGGAACTATGGCTAAAGCTGTAGCATTTTTTTCTTCTAATTCGGCAACAGCTGGAGCTGGATCATCAAGAGACTAGCAAACACAAAAATTAATGCAAAGGCTTCAGACTTTTGTTGATTTTTTTCCCACTTGAGCAACATATATAGGGGGTAACTCTTACCAATAGGTCTGGTGGTTCTGCCACAGAACTTTCCACCTTTACAGCTTCTGGCACTGGTTCAGGTTCTGGCACTGGATCCGCCTCTTTGATTACAGATTTTTTTTTGTACTCTATAGGCAAGACCACTTTTTTATCTTCAATAACCTGTGTTTTTTAGAGATAGAGTAATAAGTACACCCTGGAGGGAGTATGCACCAGATCTATTTGAGCAAGAGAGTTTCAAATAAAGCTTAAGGTTAATTGGTGTCCGACCTAGTCAAAACATATAAGAACTAATTCTCCAAAAGTTGTGCATTTATGAATGAACAATGAGACCCTTATATAGAGCTATTACAAGAGCCCAAATAATGATATGAATTACAAATACAGAAATACAGAAATTGCCCTAAATATGAGTACAAACGTTGTAGATTCCAAAATAGAATGACTGTGTTTTTTTTCTAAATATGAGTAAGTAATGTAATGCTTGGGTCTTGGGAGATACTATCATTTATGGCCATTAATACTGTCGTATTAAAGTCCATCATTGCCTTGTAATGCTAAAATATGGCAGTATGATCTCATGATGGCATTGGTTTTCTCCTATTTAGGGGTAACATAGTACTCCTACCCCCCCCCCCCCCCCCCCCTCAAGAGTGCACACCAACAAACAAAACCTAAAATCAATTATAAAAGCAACAAGTTGTTTAAACTTTTTCTTGCTAGAATTTCACTAACATTAGGGTGACACCAAAACGCCTTATAGTAATTCACATTAAAAGAAGGAAAATGGTAAGTTCTTACTGAGTCCTTGCGAGCAATAGAAAACCGAGGTGCTTCTCTCACATAGTCCTCCATTGTTTGTAGAAAAGATGCAGGAGGCTTAAAAGAAAGGAAGAAGGTCGAATTAAGTCAAAAATCAAAACGCCACACATATCTATTATTTTTCAGAAATAAAAAATCAAAGCACTATCAAACCTGCTCAATCTTGATAAATCTTTCTCCCCGGCCAATATCAAGATTCTTACATATCTCATAAAACTCAGAGAGTCTCTCAGCCTAAAAATATGAAGTGAAATCAAAACACTGTACAAATGGAAAAGGCACCTCCTAATTTATTCGGGTCTGTGAGGGGCTGTAGGCTCAAATTTAAGGACAAAAATACTACCTCTGTTCTTAAATAAATGCAACATATTGAATCTTACACTATTCACATGTTCTACTTTGACTATGTTTTATTAATTAATGTATTCAAAATTAACTTTTTGAAAAATATTGTTAAATTTGTCTCATTTCAAACTTCCAAAATCTGAATTTTTTAATTTTTTACTAATAGAGAATTAAATCTATTAGTGGACAAGTTGTGCATTAGCAAACATGAAAAAAAACATTGCACTTAAAAGAGAACAGAGGTAGTATGCAATATGATACCTGCTGACCAGCCCTGCGGTATATGTCCAGAGCCCTAAGAGCATCATTCCGTTGCATCTCAAAGAACTATTAGGATAGGAATATTAGTCACCTCTTTGCCAATGATTAAACCAAAACAAACAAACAAACAAACAAACAAACAAACAAACAAACAAACAAACAAACAAACAAACAAACAAACAAACAAACAAACAAACAAACAAACAAACAAACAAACAAACAAACAAACAAGTGCTTATAGTATACATATAGTAGTATAGTTAATATAAGAGAGGCTACCTTGTCAACCAAATTAACAGTGCCATCACTAATAGAATTGTAAACTTTAACACTTTCTGAAGCAACCTAGTATGAACCAGCAACACACTATTAGATAACCGCAATTACATATGTAAATCCACTCTCCTAAACTAAATTCATGACTATATATAAATATCTATATCGATATATAAACACACACACACTTACATGCATAATATAAATTTGTGTGTGTTTGTTTATTTATATATTCATATAACGTACCATTGTAAGTGCTAGCTGAATAACAAAATTATGAACAGCTGCCCCTTGTGGCTGCAAAGTTTAATAGAAGTATCATGAGTTATATCCTGTATAGACATGAAAGTTACTGCTTGTTTGGTTTGAAGCTTCGGAGGGGATGGAGGAGAGGGAAGGGAAGGATTGTTTGATTTGTATATTATTTATTTCTATTTCTTTATTTTAGGCTAGAAATAACGATATGATTAAATAGATCAGGTATTTCTATATAAATGATAATCTTACTTTCTTTCTAACCATCAAAATGTAGAAATAATGTAAATATAAATATCATTCCTCCCTTTCCCTCCCTTTTGAAATCCTCCAACCAATCAAGCCCTTAAACTTATTTCAACCATGAAGATCTGCGTATAAGTATAAGATGATCAAACATGTCATGTGAATTTTGATTAAATCACTGGAAAGAAGATTGTCAACAGCATAAATGAACATATACTTAGTATTAAATTACCTGACAGCCAATAACACGATATAGAAGTTGCTGTAGAGATGGCAACTGCTCAAGCAAATCCGGAGTGTCCAAATCATTGGTTTTCTGAAGTAGAGAAGGGAAAGTTGAAAATGTAAATTAAGTTTCCAGTACTATATCAGTACAAATACATGAAACAAAATTTGACTCACCGTACGATCAGATTCCACATCATATTTCAACACCCGAAAGCACTCCAGCCTCTCTTCCAAATATAATGCATAGCTACGCACCCAAGCAGAGTAATCCCATGCTACAGCATGTATGAACAAATACATAAAGTATGAAAAACATTTGACTTAATACAACTTCCCCATGAGCAAGAGAATGTGAAGCCTACCATTAGGACTTGAATCATCTTTGAAATGAGACATGTTAAGCATGCGATTCCTGCTTCGTCCATAATTAATAAGCTCCTCATGGAATGTGGGATCCACCTCTCGCAATGCACGATGGATAACAATCAAAGTTTTTAATGCAACCTGTGGGTGATAGTCATGCAGACAGAAGTCAGTTGCTATTAACAATCACCTAGTGTAATATAAGTAACCCTTGATTACTAAGACCATATATTAGTATTAAGACTTATTGTTCCATCATACGAGGTCAGCATGATAGAGTAGGCCAAGCCGCCAAGGACTTATAAATCGGTATCTTTATGTTTGACTGATATTGGTTGCTCATTTAAGCGTCAATCTTATAACTTGGGTTCCCGTTTTTAAGTCTTGGTCGGTTTGATTACTCAATTGAACTTAAGTGTCTTCGGTACCATATCCAAAGTCCAAACTTGCACTCTTATACTAAAAGGTCAATCTCATCGGACGAGTAATTCAAGGTCTTATAGATAAATTTTTAATTTTATATTTACCTAATGTTGGATGCCATAACATGTCTCACAAGATGGTGGCATGTAGTGAACCTATCTTGAAATTCATGAGAGCCTTTTAGTCTCTTGTTTGAACTTAATTAACTCACATATTACATACATCCCATTGGACATTGCCATTTTTATGTTTGGTGTGATAAGAAAAGTAAAAATTGTGTGATTGAGAGTTGTGCAAAGTATAGAGAAGTAGGGAGAACCACAAATCATTTATTTTAAATGGAAAGTGGCAAATATTTTTCAACACAAAAAAATGGCAGGGTGCAATAGCACGAAGGGAGTATAATAGTAAAGCATAGGTGAGGAAGCGGTCCAGCCCAGCTGGTCGCCGACTCACTCTCCCTTAAGGGAGGTCTCGGGTTCGAAACTCAATAGAGTGAGTTTCAGCCTAGATTACTCCAGGTCCCCCAGCCCCCTCCCCCAGACGCCCCCTAGAGTAAATATAAAAAAACAAAAAGTAAAACATAGGTTCAATCTTCAAAGTTAAGATTAGCCAAAGAACATATATGTGAATCTGTATCTCTATATTTGACCTTTGTGGCACAGGTTAACAATTAGAAATAGCACCTAAAGCTAAACTTAGAAAAATATTATACATGACAAAGTATATATAATTTGATTTTGCAGGACTCTAGGATTTGAGCCTCATGAAAAATTACAGAGAATAGAATTTTTTTTGTTTTAAAGAGATGGAAATATATTCGGAACGTACCGCCCAATTATGTGTCTTAGACAGCCGTCTTGCAAGAGCATTAATGCAGTACGCAACATCAGCCCGAGGCCTTGTCGCAGAAATAGCAGCAAAGATCGCTGAAATAAGAGATAAACATATTACATCATGTCCATTGGATAGGTTTTAGGGTAATATTGTTAAAAAAACAATGTGCCCTTCATATCCCCACACCTCTTATATGTTTCTCTTTTGCCGGGCGCTCAACATGATTCGTTGCCCTAACAATAGCAATGTCCAGCTCCTGTTGACAATTCAATTTTGCGAAACTAAAGGTGTCAAAATGGGATAGAAATATAGAGGAGAGGTATAAGAAAAACAATAATACAATATAGCATGTAAAAAGTACCTTGTAATCGCTATTTATTTTAGCTATACTAACAGTAGTGGTATCCTTAAGTGCCCCAAGTGTTTTTCTCAAGCTGTTCTGTGTACCCCCTCCTCCTCCTGACATTATCTCTTCAAATTATATTTGGCAGCAGCTATCTGTTCTAGTCAAGAATAACAATTTCCATTTCAATACATGAGTCACAATTTACAATCAAACTTTAGGGATAATCCTAAGATAATTATTAAACAATGCCCAAAATATAAACATTAAAGTAATTAAAAAAGATTACTTTTCAACAATGTATATATTTAAAAACATAGATGTATCAATTTCTCATTGGAATAATCAATAATCCAGGTACTTCAAAACCAAAAAGAAAGAAATAGCACACAACTGCAGAAGTTTGACCTGATCTAGTTCCTAGCTGGTTTGCAACTCGCATAGAAATTCTAATGCCAACCATTTCATTTGATCCGAGTCCATTCAATTGAGCTGCCCAATTAGACAAATATTTTAATATTCACCTAATGACCGCCACTATGTAAACCAGAACACACTCAAGCTGCATGGAGAATCGGAGATCATCACATATTAACGAATATTTTCTCGATCTACAATTTTAATTTATAAAGTTCAGAATTTCAATGAACATAATAAACACAGACAGACTGAGAGACTGATCTTAATGTCCACGAACAATTAAAGAGAGGAACAATAGAAAAAAGTAGGCATAGATAAAAGCAATATAATAATCACAGTAAGATAAAATTGAAATAGCACAAAAATGACAGTCACAGAGACCCAATGAGCCAAGACTCAATCTTCAACATCTATGCCTCATATTTCAGCTACCCAGCAGTCGGAAAATCACGAAAGATTAATGCTTGATTTACACAAAGGGGGGAAAGAGATCAGAGAAAGAGAATCTGACCTGACCTCAAGCTGAAGAATGTTTCAGAAAAAAGAAAGATGAAGCGAAGAGAACAGAAAAAGGAGATGTTTAAAAGGGAGAGAAGGGAGTCGTTTCTGGTGGTCTGTATACAGAAGAAAAGTGCGCAACAATGAGTTCATTTTGGTTGGCCGTCGGCGTCATTTTCTTTTTCATTTTTTATTGCATATTTTAAATAAATATATATATGTACAGCGTGTTCTCTCATTTGCTGATTTGATATCTATGAAGTACTAGTATTTAAGAAATGCATGTACAGAGAATATTGTAATTGAACTATGTATATGAGTGCTGGTGGATTTTTTAATCCATTAACTTTAAAAAAAGTCCATACACTTTTACGTTTATAAACTGTTTATATGATGAGGTATGTTGATTTGCATAAAATCATTCATAGATTTTTTTAAAGTTCATAGGGTGAATGGCCATTACCTGTTGCTTGGATTTACTTCTGATAGTTGCCGCTGATCTGTCACAATCTCATTGAACTTCTCTGCCACTACCTGACTGACCTTGGTTAGACAAGGGAAAGAACGGGCAATTAATCATATTAGTTAATTAAATTAGGGACTATAAATGTACGTAGTAATATTTAGTCTTATTTAAGGAAAATCAAACGTATGATCCTATTTTGTGGAAAATGTTATATTTTAGTCTTATCATGAGTAATTTCATGTATATAATATGATACAAAACAATTATATAAATAAATGAAACAAATGTAATTCATCTAATAATGTGGAGCTTTACAAGAATAAATAAGGTCTAAGCATCCAAATTTATTTTATTAATTGAAAATTTTTAAATTGATATGATGATCAACAAACCCGGTCTCTTTATGATCAATTGTCAGAAAATTTATTTTTATATATACTTTGGCGTAGCATTTTTCAATACTTTTTTATCCAACTTACCAATTAAATTTTAAGGTGAAACTTGGTGGACATAATCTACACTTCATTAAGACATGTTCACAAAATTTCATCAAAAATTTCCACCTGTAAAAACTTCAAATGGAGGCGGCCAAACGTCAAGTTATGTGAGGTAGTACTTCTTAGTTCTTACGGGAACATTCATATACTATTATAATTTATAAGTTGTGTCATTCTTGGGTTTTATATGACATTAACAACTAAGAAGGCAGACTTTGGCCTCTCTTAAGTCTCTTCCACTTTCCCCACTTATTTAGCATTTTTGCAGCTCTTCTTGTCTTCATCTAGGAAGCACGGAAACTCTCCATGGTTCACGTTTCCACGTTTCGGAAACTCAGAAGTGTTTCGGAAACTCGGAAACTTCAAATTCCCGTTTCAGGGCCGTTTCCGTAATTAAGAAAAAATTGAAAACCCATTTCACTACGTTTCGGAAACCTCGGATTCCAATTTTTTTTTCTTTTTCAAAAGATTCTATGGTGGAAAATAATTTTTTATAGTGAATTTTTGTGGTATTTCTCAGCGCCAACACTTGTTACATTTCGTAACGCAATGTATTGCTAGAAATGTATTACTTCGTACATTTTATGTTTAATTATGTACTAATATGAAGTAATATCAAAATTCGAACATGTAGAGTGATTTTATTATTTGGTTACTAAACAAATTATATTAAAAAAACATGTGCATATGGAAAAACTTGTGTACATATATTAAAAAATATTTATAAATATATCCTTATATTTTATAATATTTACGCGTTTCCCCCACGTTTCGTGTCCTATATTTTTTAGAAATTACGTTTCTCGCGTTTCCCGTTTCCTGTTTCCCGTTTCCCGTTTCCTGTTTCCGTGCTACTTAGGTCTTCATTAATATTGGGAATTGAAAGAAATAATCGTGATAATAGAAGATATTGGTTTCTGTATTTTTTGTACGAACACTAGTTGAAAAGTGTTGAACTGCGGCACAACATTAGCGGCACTTAAGAAATAAAGGCTGTCAAAAATTACATGTGAGGCGCTTATATATAAAAAGTGTCATCCAGTATATTATACGTAGTAATACGGTTACGAGTTATGATTTTATGACTTCAGTGGACTTTTTTGTGTATGGAACTTTGATTTTACAGTAAAATTGATTTTCAGTTGCCTACCATACCATTATTAGGTGGTGATAGTGTTGTAGCGATGCCGGCGAAATGTTGATCGTCACTAACTCAGCCATTTGTGGCGACGTTGATGCAGTGTCAATGTTGCTTTTCTTCCATGCGGTCAACGGTTTGTGAGGTTCATACTAACCAAAAGAATGTTAACATGACCTTCTTGATGAAAGGCTGAAAGCTACAAATTTCATTGTATTCTCATACTTTTATTTTTGAGAATTAAAAAAAAACATACGATATGTTTATTCTGATAAAACTCATGAGACTACTTCTTAGGATAAGAAAACTCTCCGGTTAATAAAAAGAATAACAATATTAATCCAACTCACTCAAATGCAAAAAACTAACACTATGCAAAGTCTCACACTAGAATTTCTCTCTTAGAGGATTGACATTCATGTAATTTCCATGTGTAAATTTGTGTTTTTAATTAGTTTAGAGTGAGTGTTACTTCGGAAATTACACACTTTTGGTGTAATAGTTTAGTTTGTAAAATATTTGTAATATGTTTAGATTAGGTTTATTCTGAGCTCAAACAGGTCCAAGAACACTTTGGGGACCATTGGTGAACACCACAAGTGGAAGGAAAGTGTAAAAATGCAAGACAAAAAGTGGAGATTTCGTTTTTGGTCTGTACCCGGTCGGGTATGACCTATACCCGATCGGGTACCCTTCTAAAAAATCAAATCGGATCAACCCGGGAACCGAGCAACATGCGGGAAAGATTTTGGCCATGTTCGATTGTCATACCCGATCGGGTGACCGACAGACCCGATCGGGTATGACCCTATTTTTCAGTTTCTGGGCAATTTCCTAAGATACCCGATCGGGTATCCTATATACCCGATCGGGTACACAGCCCTGCAGCTCCCAAAAGCCTATAAATACACCCCATTTCCTTCCCATAAAATCACCAATTCACATATACTTCTTAGCTCAGTTTAGACAAGTTCTTTCTTTATATTTTTCATCATGTTTAGTCTCCATATGAGGAGCTAAACTCTTCCATCTTGGTTTTGCTACTTTGAAGCTTAATGAATTTGTAAGTTGTGAGTTATTATCTTTAATCTTCTTCCTTGAATATTAATTCTTTCTTTAAATACTATTTCTATATCAATGTTGGGGAGTGTTACTAAGATGACAATTAGTTAACATCTTGACATTAGTTATAGTAATAGTTATTTCTTCCTCTACGTTAATATCGGGGAGTGTTACTAAGATGACAATTAGTTAACATCTTGATATTAACTATAGTAGGATTCATCTTCTTTAATATTCTTCCTTGAGTATTAATTAATTCCTATTCATATTTCATATTAATATTTTGAACATTACTTAAAGGATCAACTAGTTTTGTTTCATATATTAATTATTACTAGAATCGGTCGATTAATACGCTTGTTATTAATTCGGTCCTTTCGCGGTAGTAAACTTGGGTTATTAATGCATGCGTTTCATGGTTAATAAACCAAGGGGAATTAATTATATTGATTAAACCAATAAACCGCTTGTGTTGAGGTTATCAATCTCAATCGTTTTCATCTTGATTTTATTGCTACTATCGAGTGAATATACGGCGCGTGTTCTATATTAACTCGGTAGTAAGTTTTATTAATGAACGCGTCTCGTTATTAATAACTACCCTCGATGAATTGGATATACTCCTCGATTGAGTATTCGAGAGGAAGATAGTTAAAGATATAACCAGGATCGACGAACATTTCATTAAGTGGATAAAAGCAAAGCCAAGTCTTCTTCTCATTAATTAAACCACATAACTCGTTCATCTTCGTATTTAAATATAATTTAAAGTTCATCAACCAAATATAAACCCCCCTTATTGTTACTTATCTATTTCTGTAAGAAGAAAAGTATTCCTTTCCCTGTGGATACGAACCTTACTACACTATACTACGTATTAGTGTCGTATTGTATTATTACTTTGAGTGCACCTCACGACAAAGTGCACGTCAAATTTGGCGCCGTTGCCGGGGAAAGGCAATTATTTTTCTTTTTATTTTGTTTTAAAAAAAAATCAAAAAAAAATATAATTAAATAAAAATATAAAGAGTTCTTATTCTTCTATTTCTGAGCTTTGTGAAGTATATGGTAAAATATCGTTCATTGAACGAAATCACCTACCAATCAAACCCCGAAATAGAACAAACTCTCGAGCGGTTGAAAAATAAATTCTCAAATACTGACTCGGGAGATTCATCAAGTGCTAGCTCTTATTCTAGCGAGCCTGAAGAACCAACAACTATGGCTCTCGAAACAAGAACGTTAAGGGAGCTCACAGCTCCGAACTTGAATCAACAGCCGTTATGTATTACCTTCCCTACACTCAACGAGGGTAATACATTTGAGCTAAAATCAGGGCTCATTCATCTTTTGCCATCCTTCCATGGCTTAAGGGGGGAAGATCCGAACAAACATCTGTCAGAGTTCCACATTGTATGCACGAGCATGTGCCCTAACGGAGTCACGGAGGAGCAAATCAAGCTCAGAGCTTTTCCATTCTCCTTGAAGGACACCGCAAAAGATTGGCTTTTCTATCTTCCTTCGGGAAGTATAGACACATGGGCGGCCATGAAAAAATGCTTCTTGGAAAGGTATTATCCCGCTTCCATTTCATCATCTCTAAAGAAGCAAATCAGCAACATCGAACAAGGTGATGATGAATCACTTTACGAATATTGGGAGCGCTTCAAAAAGCTTTGTGCCAGTTGCCCATACCATGGATACACGGAACAAGACCTCATCCTCTACTTCTATGATGGTCTTGCGGAACACGATAGGAGAATGGTGAATGCGGCATGCGGAGGGGGCATTGTTAACAAAACCCCTTCTCAAGCAAGAAATCTCCTCTCGGAGTTGGCGGAGAACTCTAGGCATTACAACGGAAGATCCTCAACCCGTAAAGTTGCCGCGGCGGAATCATCTTCATCTTTGGAGAGTCAAGTTGCCGGCTTGACTTCTTTAGTTAAGGATTTTCTCTTAAATCCTAGAACCCAAGAGGTCAAGGTCTGCGGCATATGCACACAACAGGGGCATCCAACCGATTCTTGCCCAAATCTCCAAGAAGAGCAAGTCAATGCCTTGGGT